CCAGAGCCTGCTCAGGGGTCACGTCATAGGGTAGTTTGCTGGGAAAACAAAAATTATCCCCAACTATATTAGACCAACAGCCAGGAACAGCCTGACACAAGACTACATCTTTCATACACAGAAACACCCAGAAATATTAGGTAGCTTGCTCCTGCTCATATAGCCAGCAAACGGTGGGGCCACAACTTGACCTCACACTTGGAACTGTGAATCAGGTGCCTTGAACTCTGTCAGGCACTGTGATAGGCCTTTGGGATAAAAGCGATGAGACATGATAGCTTCTCGAGTCTCTTACAGTCTGGTGGGAGAGACACACAAACGCGTAATTATATAAACCCACCGTGCTTTAAGTAAGATGAGCAGAAATGCTAGAGTGCCACAGAGCAGAGGTTTTTACTCAGACTGGAAGAATAGAGGACAACATCCATAAGGAAGGGACATCTAACTCAGGAAAAAGCGAGAAGTCTTCCAGGAAGATCCAATGCAAAGAAAGGAAGAGGGAGGAGGAGTGAGGGTGGAGAGCAAACAGCCAGGTTGTGGTAGGCCCTGTGCCTGATGCTCAGGCCTCTGGACAGTCCCAGAAGCCAGAGATGTGCCATTAGAAGACAGGAGATCTGAATCTGAAGGAAGACAGCTCTGACCCACGGTGAGGAATGAATTAACGATGGACAGTCACAGGTAAAAGAGACAGGAGATGAGCGCCCCGACAAAGGACGAGGACACGAGCAAGGGTGCAGCAGTGGGGACCAAGAGATGGATCTGAGGGATACTGAGGAGACACATCGAAGGGACGTGGTGACCCTTCGGGTGGTGAGGGAGGTGACAGGTACATACAGGAATAGAAGAAGCTGCCAGGATCACTCAAGGGAAGGGCACTGAGTCAGAAAATCCTAGCTATGAGAAGAGCAGATGTGCTACAACACGGAGCCCAGGCTTTATTAGGAAGGAAAAGAGGGCAGGGGGCAGCTGCTAGACAAAAGGCAAGGTTCTGGTACTTTCAACGAGGTCAAAATTCCTAATGGTTATGTCGGACTATCTGGGTGGCCTAAATCCAGTCACAAGTGTCCTAGTAAGGGAGAGGGAGATTTGGTGCGCACAGAAGAGGAGGCAATGCGACCACCGAGTTACGGACTGGGGGACATGGCCACACACCCAGCAAGGCCAACAGCCACCAGAGGCTGGAAGAGGCAAGGACCAGATTCCTGCCTCGAGCCCCCGGAGGGGCCGCGGCCCTGCAGACGGCATGGCTGCAGAGCTCTAATACTGATCTCAGACTTCCGGCTTCCAAAACTGTGAGAGAATAAACTGTTGTTTTAAGGAATGAAGTTGGTGGTAATTTGTCACAGGAGCAACAGGAAACGGATAGGGGTAAACTCCATTTGTCAGAGCGTGGCCTAATTACGTAGAGGTGGACTATGAACAAAGAATTCAGCAAAAATCAACACAAGCATTCTGTTTGGAACAACTGGCTGTGTGGGATTTATAATAAAGAGTATTATCATATTTTATTATTTGTAAATTATGTGCTATATATCTCATATCAGTAAAACTTACAACTTAATGAATACGAAATTTTTTAAAAGTAGTAAGGAGCAAAGGGAACTACAGTGGTAAAGACAAAGCCTGTAGTGAGAGAGAATATTCACTTTCTAGCACTTTAGAGGTGACGTTTCAGTTTGCTGTACTTGTCCACTAAAGCTTGGAGATCTGTGATGTTGACATGCAGGGTGGGCTCCCACTGCCCCATTACACCTCTCAGGTTTCGGCATCAATAAAAGTGTTAAGACTAATTTCCATTTTATGGAAAAAAAAAAAAAGACACCAGTTTCTGATAGGCACCCA